ATGGTGACGATGTCTATTCTCTTCCCTCTCTGTGGCTTTATTATATCTGATGCCCTATAAAAGCAAAAACTGGGGAAATAATTCTTTTGTTGTTGTTGTTGTTGAGCGCTCAAAAATGTGCGTAAAACAATGTTGGTTCTTCTGCTGTCTGTACAAGAAGAAGTTCTGTAACCAGCACGACAAATTTCTGCAGTAATTTTCAGGGCTAAAAGGAAAAAAATTGATACAAATTTGTTTGGCTTTACTTTATTTAGATGACAGAGGAGACGGAACTGCAAAGGTGATGAAAATTAATATTGAAAACTGAAAATTCTGATGTGATGAATTGTTGTCGTCGGACAAGCTTCGGTAACTGGACGACGGTGACAGTAGTGAAGAAGTAGCAAAGTAAAGCAAAAAAAAAAAAAAAACAAGGAAGGTAAGAAATGAAACAGATGGAAAATTGTTAAATTGAAAGAAAAAATGAAAGAAATATTTTAATAATCATTTATAAGAACAAAATACATCTTTTCTTCTTCTTCATTCTTCTCTCACTTTTATTCATCTCACAGAAACTTCAAGAAAAAAAAATGTTTTTTTTTTTTTTAACTTGATTTTTTTTTCCCCCTTTATCATTGTTGGTAGTTCTTTTCTTTCCTCTTTTTTCTGCCTACTTTTTTTTTTTTTGTTGAGTTATACTGAAGAAAAAGTCGTCAGCTGCGGGAAGAAAATATTGGCTGGTATTCTGTTACATATTAGATATATTAAAGACAAAAGAAAAAAAGCACATTTTTAAGCTTTATGCTTGTGAAAAAATGGGCATTTCAGTGAATTTAGCAAGAATTTGGCAAGCAATTGCAAAAATATACCAGCACCATCACCACCACCACCACCAACAGCACCCAACACCACCACCACCACCACCACCACCACCACCACCACCACCACCAACAACAACAACAACAACCAACAACAACAACAACAACAAAGCATCAGTTGGTCGGGAAATTTACTTCCGACTCATTGATTCAATTTGAATTTACAACTGAGAAGATTCACAATTGTCATCACCAAAAAGCCTGGTAAACATCACAACAAACCATGATGAACAGAAGAAGCAAACCACAAATACTGGTTTATCTGTGTCGTCTTCTTCACCACCCTCTCTCCCTCTTGGTTTTTCCAATGCAATTAAAGCACATAAAAAGCATTCTGGAAAAAAAATGAAAGAAAAAAAAACGAAGGTTAGTTGACCAACTGGTAAACCAGTTGATGTTCAATTTATCAACTGTTCAATTTCAAATTATTCTTGCTTTTTTTTTTTTTTTTTTTTTTAATGCAGCATTTTTATTCCTAAAGGAAAAAAACCAGCATTATAACAGTCTATTTTTTATGGTTATTTACTAATGTTTTTGCTGTTAGTGATGGTGTTATTTAATTGTTCCAACACAAACTTAGGTATCTTCTTAACAAATAATTATCTGTCTAACGGCTCTCTCCTAATTTTCGTCTGCTATTTGTAGACCTCAAATAAGTTAGTGTTACATATACATATCTTCCAGCAGTCAATCAAACCATAAAATATACCCAAAAAATTCATTTCTGTCTACCGTCATTTGATCGCTGCATATTATTTTTGATTAGTACGATCATCTTTAATTGCTGTGGAAGACAAATATGTGTTTCTTCAGTAATCATTTCCTTACTGTTATTGCTTTTGTTTTTGCTGCTGTCGGTGGTGCTGATATCGTTTTATTGGTATGGTGCCTTTTTAATAACAGTTTTCTTGTCAAATATACCACCGGACGAATGCGGCCAACTTAGCAAATACAAAAAAAGTACAAACTGCAGCTAAGAAAAAATTTAACATAACTTTTATACTGTCTCTTCTCT